CAGTAATTCACCCTCCGAGTGATACATCTTGGAGGAATGAGAAAGAAGAATATACGAGGTAAAGGCATATATGCTCCTTAATAAGAACTGATAGATGCCTATTCATTATTTAGTCATGACTGAACCTTTCTTCTTGCTAGAAAATGGACATTTTCCTCAAGAGTTCAGCTGATACAGCATTCTACAAATTAAAATTAATTCCTTATATATATGGCCATTTTAGGAATGGCAGTGCTCTTGCTTCCTTCTCTTAATTCCATTCCCCTGTTTGGCACTGGGGTAGATGCTGTGGGCAGTAGGGAGCAAGCACAGGGATGTGTCTCAGTCTTTTTACCTCCCCTCTCCAAGGCTTCCTTTGCTGCTATAACATCTGTTTAACTTGCCAGTGACAGAGCTGAAGGGGAAGAGACAGAGGTAGAAACTAGGCCCTTCCTATTGGAATAGTCCCAAATTCCGAAGGGCAGGTGTTGGGTGCACGTAATGGGTTTCTCTATGATAGTGACGTGGCAATTCATCTGAAAGAAGAGACACCTGCGTTCTACTTTGCGCTTCGATAAATATTTTAGTATTTTACATTAAGGTTTTATAGGAGCAGGAATTGAACTTTCTCATTTTTTTGTCTGAATATTTTGTTCAGATGTAATTAAGGGGAGGAGGGGAGATTAGGAAATAAAAAGGAAAAAACATTTTAGGCATTTCTTCCTTTTTTTCTTTAAGCGTTTGCTCTTTAGGAATTTGCATGTCTACCCTCATTAAAAGCTAAACTCAAATTAACAACTCAACCTTGTGCCAATTATATAATTTTAAGTCTTTCAGAAACTGACCCTCTTGGTAAAATTCTTAATTAAATTGTGGCAACATAAACATTCTGGCTTTGAAAAAAAAAAAACCACATACAAGTGCAATCTGGCATCTGCTCACATCACAGTAAATGCATGTTTTTATAAATTTACTAATGTTTTGCATGTGTTTATAAACATATGACTATTAATTTAGTCAAAATTACACTGAAGTTGTTATCCAGACTTTCATCAGAGAGGTTGTACCTCTGCTGTGTGTACCTTGTGTATTTGGAGGGAGCCGAGTGAGGAGAAGGAATTATTTGATCATGTGGAGCAAAGTTGTAGTAGCTGCCAGTGCATCTTGGAGTGACTCCCATAAGCTGGGGAAAAATGATGTAGCTCTGCTTTTTACTTTGGTCTGGAGAAGGAGTCCTTTCTGTTTGTTCTTCAACAGTTTCTAGTGCCAAAATGCATGTGATGACACTAAGGAATGTTTCTTTCCCCAGACTGGCAGACTAAGCTCCTTTTGGATATGAAGTACTCCTAGGAAGTTTAGCGAGACCCTTGTGTAACCTTGACAAGATGCTGCCTGCTTGCCCTGGAAGATGGGAGGAAGAAGACTCCCATGCCACAGGTACATCCATGCAAGTCACAATCTTTTTCTCTTAGTGTACAAAATGATTTGCAGCCTTCTGATGTCTCTTCGAAAGAGCCGAATTACCTATTAGTACAGTCTCATAAAAACTTGCAAAACTAACAGAGGAAGCTGCTAACAACTTCTTAAAACTTTTCAAAAATTTACTTTCCACTCCTCTGCTCCCACCAATAAGTGAACTGTTTTTTAAATCTCATGCTTCCTCAAACAGGTCCCATTTTCATATTGAAGGGCAAGTGCAATATGCAAAATGGCAAGAGGAATAACAGCTGATTGTACTGCCTTTGGAAGTGAGTGAAAGAAAGAACTCGAACTCATACACAGGCCTGCTGAAATTATAATATGCCAGGATTATTTGCTCTGTGTAAATCTTCTAGCTTGAATGGGTTTCTTACTTTCTGTTTTTCACAATTGAGGTGATACCTTTCTTATTATTTTTACTATCCATACAGCTAATTACGAGTCATTTTCTGTTGTTGTATTAATAATGAACAGTAATGATGAAAAATTCACTATTGAAAATTCACAGTTATTTTAGTGAAAGTTCTGCATGACTAGAAACTGAAGGTAGCTAATAACAATTCTTTCAGGTTATTATCAGTAGGTACACTTTTAAGCTTCATACCCAAAAAAAAAAAAAAAGACTGGAGACTTACCTGATGGAATAAAGTACATTTCCATTTTTGAAAATTCGCAATAACTTATTGTCTGTTGTAACTTCGTGAAAGTTGGCACCTTTCTCATTAGCAAAGAACAAATCAGGTTTCCAAATTGAGTCCAACATGGATGGATCTAAGTCTAAAGAGTCATCCGGATATTCACTATATGCAAGACGTGGATCATTCCAGTTCTGACGGAGAAAGATGTTCACTCGGTAATCCTGAATGAAAGAGAAAGCAAGCAAAGCTTTATCAAGCAGGGGGATTTAGCTTTTATTTCATTTCTTAGCCATGTAATCCTCTGTCCATCTGTGAATGACAAAAGAATTACTTTGCTGAATGCCAGCATGATACCTGTTTGTATTAGTGGAGATACAATGGATAAGAATAAAGATGTATTTCAGAGCAATTGAAAAAGTCATAAGGAAATCCAAGCTCCATGTACAGTTCATGTAATGTCATATAATTCTACTCCTTCAGTAGCTCTGTCTAGAGATAGAAATGACAGAAGCATAAAATGATTTTTATGGTATTATCTTTTTCTGCTCAACTCCTGGCAAAGACTTTCCCACCACCCTCTCCTAGGTGGTGAGATCCTGTCCCACTGTAAGAGACCCTGAATCTCTTCTTTCTCCAGTCCTTGTATGATTTTTAGACACAGCACTTAGTTTTTCCTGCGCCTCAGTTCACAATGGCAAAATTGTGTTGGTAGTGCTTTGTCATGCAGCTGTATGTGGAAGAGAAAAACTGTTCAAATATCATGGGGATCCTGGGTAAGTTAGCTTATGTACAAGTGAAGTCACCTTAATTTCCACAGGCAGTTCTGTCTTAACGAAGGGCACTTTTGTAGAAAAGATGAGTGATTCAAACTTCTGGCAGTCATCGCTATCAGAGACAATATTGTGAATTTATGGCTGCACACACTACTGAAGCTTTGGAAGATGAAAATATTTGTTTTTAACTTAAAGTGAAGATTAACATCTCATTTGATGGTATCATGAACTGAGGGACTTGAGGGTCTATTTTTAAGACCATAGGTCTTATACTTTAGATGGTGATAGTATGATTTTCTTCATTATTTGCACTACCAGATTGATGTCAGAAGATAAAAATAAAATGGAAAAAAAGACCATGTTGATGCATGCAAAGAGGAAATGGAGCAGGGTGTCAGAACTTACTTTAACACTGCAGACAATCATTTAAGTAAGTAACATCACTATTTTAATGGTAAAATGTAATGAATATTAACTTCAGAAAGGGAACTTTTGAGACAGAATGAGAAATGAAAAAATATTCAGTGCTCAGCAATAGAATTTTGGCAATAATTAGGAGTACCAATTATTAACAGAACAACTAGTTGAATCTCCACTGCTCTAGAAACTATCACTGAAATTCTAGTACAAGTGTCAATATTTTACAGGTATTTCATCTGTGAAGCTTGCAACAAGTGACAATTATGAGAATAATGCTAACAGTATTGTTATGCATGTATAACTGTATGCAATGTTTCCTCCTGAGAAGTAATTATATCTTGAGTATCCTGCTGTTGGGGTGGTTTAATTAATCAGCTTACATAAGGGTAGCCAAATAGGCTGAAAACATATTTATCAAGCATTTGTTGCTTGATAATCAGAAAATACAGTGTATACCATATAGAGGCAGTCTATATGTATAGAAGATTTTATATGTGTACATATTGTTATGAATTATATAGATAAATATGGTAAGTGAAAAACTAAACCTGAAGCATGACATTGATTCACAGTGTTGTTTTGGGCGTCTATTGAAAAGGCTCTTTTCCTTCCTTAACATGGCTAGCGACAGCCATAAGAGACATGAAAAATCCCCACAGAAACTGAAGGTCTCATATCTGTAAGAGGGAACATGTGAGAAATACAGAGCAGAAGGTTGCAATGAGAATGGCATATATAGGAGGAGAAATGGAGGGATCTCTCCCAGCTTACATTAAGCTATTTTGTATATCAGTTTGTCACAAAAGTCCTAAACTGAAATCTTTACTGGTTTAAATGCCTTTCAGCCTTTATGATTAAAAAAAAAAATCCCTTGGTTAAATTGTACTGCAGCAATTTTTCTTTATTCTCTACCCTAAAAAGAATGACTTAAATTGGCTCTCATTATTCATTACAAAAAATTATAATCTGTCAAAATGAGAGATACACGTTTGGCTACTGTTGCATGAAGGACAAGTGTTCATTGTCTCAGCTCATGATTATGTGGTGTGAGCATAAAGCTTAACTGCTTTAACCCAGTAGCTTTGTTTTGTGCAAACACAGAAAACAGAATTAAACTGCTAGCATTGATTGGTTCTCCTGTAAGAGGATTACTGTTCTTGTGTGCTACTTCCTTGTCCAGAGCGGTGACTCTTAACTCAAGTATTTAACCCATGCTCTTTCCTAGAGAAAGGAATCTTCATTTAAGTAGTGGTGGCTGGCCCTGGTTCTGCAAATGAGAATAATCTATGCTGCTGCTCTTGGTCCAGCTATCTTTTCCCTTAGACAGAGATTAAACTTTCTTGAGGTTGTTCAGGATACCTGCTACATAGAGCTCAATAAAAGTAAGAAAGAGCAGATCAGGAGCTACTCTGCTACTCTTCAGGCTGAGGCTGACACTACCATGGAGCTCTTTACTGATATTTTTATTATCAATCTTCAAGACACTGTGAAATCTAAAATATTTATGGAGTATATAGACTTCTTCATTGTACTGGTATGGATAGAGCTATATTCCCATAATATGCTGTACAAAATATAGTTGGACAGACTTCTTGAAACTTGGGCATGAATCCCCAAATATTCGATGCCTGAGTCTCACTGAAATAGACTCCTGGGTTATGACTGTCATAACTCAAAGAATTCATCAGTATAGGCAAGGTACTATCTCTCTCTATTACTCCTCAAGAAAGCATAGTGTGGCACCAGTTATATCACTTGCACTTGGTTCTTATTTCATATCTTACTCTTCTTCCTGTATTGACTCTTATATTTTGACATAGTCGATAACTTTTCAAGACTATTCTGTGCTATTTGCTTTCAGAAAGAATGTAACAGAAAAATTATAACTGACCTTGTGTTAACAGTAGATGTAATAAGGCACTGAATTAGTTTAAATGCTTTTTAAACGGACATTTTACTACTCTTGAGAATTTCCCATATAATTAAAGTAATAACCAAGAAGTTCAGCATGAGGGATAATTTCCTAGCTTGGTGAGTGCCTCAAATACAGATACTAATATAGCAGACTCTTTTTAACTAGTTTCTTTTACTTTCCTCTCTTTTGCACCCCAGATTAGTTTATGCCGTTAAAACAACTTACATCTCTGCCATTTTCCTCACATATTTCAACTAGAAAGGTAATGGTTTTCTCAGACTCCACAGACATCACTTTCTTAGTTTGTGAAATGCTGACACTGTAATTTGACTTTTTTTTTCTCCTCCTAACTAGAGACAACAAGTAAAGTTGCTAGAGGCACCAAGTAAATAACTTGAGAATCACATTTATACTTAATGTTACATAGCCTAGGTATTGAGCCTTCATTTGTTATTGTCATTCTCTGTGTGTGGCTAGGAATTTGACAGAGAAAGCTTTTTTTTTTTTTTTTTTTTGTAATAAACCAGCCTGCTCTGTGCCCTTCCACTGAATTGCCATATCTGTCACTAGTGTGTTACACAGCACATTAATATGTTTAAATGGTACTGGTAGGATTTGTTGTATTTGCTGTATTTCTTGTGTACAGTTGTGTTTACAGCTGAGATAAGTTGCTGTCTTAGTCTCTGAAAAAATTCAAATTTGACATGCTTTTTACTGCTACTTTGATTAGTATGATTAGATGGGATGCCCTGTGGCCGATTAGGACTTTGTGGTAATAGCATCCTTCCATTTTAAATTTGTTCACTGACCTAAGCACTAATGCTCGGTTTAGGTAACCTAATTACTTAGAGTAAATTGATGGAGTTTCCCTGGTTTGTGTCTGAAAATTTCAGACTGGACCACAAGTTTATTCAGCTACGTTTTCAATGTCTTTGATGAAATTTCTTAAATACAGGAACTCAAGTATGCAAGTTCAAGCAAGTCCCTCAAATCTACAGGTCATTTTGCATGAAATGGCAAGCTGGTTACCCATGTGATTCCAAAGTGGAGGAGAATATCCTCGAGATTCACACTGAGATCTGAGAAATGTAAATGTAGATTCTATAGAATCTTAAAGATTTTCTTATATTCTCTTATGCTTAAAAGGTGGATGAGAGATTATTTATGGTGAGCATTATTTATTGAGTCATTTATAGTCCAATAAAAAGATTACATAGAAGAACGTGCAGGAAGGGATAAGCAGGACTAGCTACCTAGTTCTAGGAGAGGAGAAAGGTAAAGCCTGAATTCTTTAAACTGCTGTAAAGATGAGGAGAAGACAGGATTACTGGCTCTAAATATAATAGAGGGTAAATACTAAGGGGTGAAAATCTTTTAAGCCAAAGGAAAAGAACATCCTTTGTTACAAGAAAATTAAGATGGATCTAAATTTATGATCTTGCAAGAGCAGTAAATTTCAGAACAGCTTCTGAATGCAAATTAATGAAAGTGAAACTGCTCTCCAAAATAAACAACGAGGGCATGTATTATGTCTGTGAAAGCAGAGTCTTGATGGCTCAGGAGGACCCATATGCTGATTTATCTAATTAATTAATGTTCCTTGCCCCTTGGGAGCAAATTGTGTTGAACAGAAAAGAGGGAACAATTAAAGGCTCTGCGGTTATCCAGCCAAATACAATTGAGAGCTATGGAAAGGAACAGTATTTTCACCAATACTGAAGGATAGAGATTTTTCTTTCTTCCCCTGTCCTTTAGACAGAAAGTGTTTACATGCTGAAAACTGCCTGAAGTCTTCTCTCTGTGAGCCACTTTTGCTTACCACAAAAACCTAACTACGTATGACTGATAAAACTAAAGCAGCATCTTTTTATATTGAAGCTGTTGTTTTGATAGCCGTGTGGTACATGCTGTATGAATGGGCTATAGCAAGCAAAGAAATACACTGAACTTTTCTTCTGTCAAGTATTTTTGAATCTCTACTATTCACTACTGTGTTTGATTAATATATTTGCCCTAGATTCCTGGTCATGTAGTATTAGTAAAATCTTAGATTCAAGCCAAATGTTGCTCTTTAAATTCTAATTCCAAGCTTTATATATGCAGTTTATATGCA